GTTTAAGTTTTTTCTACAATCATATCATCCCCGAAGCCATTCAGCGAACAATATCGTCGGGCAATATGTCTAATTTTAAAGGACACTGAAATTCTTCCAGAAACCTTTTTTGCAGGTTTCAGTCCGCCCTATACGTAAAATTGCGGTTGTTCCCTTAGATTCTGAAATGTTTCTCCAAAATTCCATTAAGGAACAATTCGGCTTTTTACCATTACCATTTTACTATCGATTTTATGTTCAATTGTGGGATCTTCCTCTGTGTCTGCCTGGCGCAAAAATCCGCTGTAATTTTCAAAAACCGGTTTTTGTATTCCTTATTTTGGGTTGCCCTTCAGATAAATTTGACTATAAAATAATTTTACCGTGCGATACATCGCTTCGTTGACTCCAACCTTTTGTTTCGATTTCAGGTCATGAAAACAACATTCCAGAGGATATTTTTATTTTACTATATACTTATACTTTTCTCGTAAATTCTATACGAATTATAGTAATAATATTGTAATTATAATATATTTGTGAATTATATAATAAATACTACAAAAATAATTAATTCTTCTGGTCGTTCCCGGTAAATTTTTTATTTTTGTCAAACTTATAAATTTTTTAGGAACAAAAATTATTATTATTTTTTTTTTAATTCCTTCAAAGTGAAAATAAGAAATTCTTTGTTTTCACTCTGAATTTTTGGGAAAGACGCGAAGTGAATTTTTGCAGATTTGTACAGAAAACAGTAGGTTTCATAAGAAATGAAATAAGTCCGCTTTACATTCTCGAATTAAATTTTACTCATGGTAATTTTTTGGGAAATGTTGATTTTTTCCGTGGGGCTGGAATGTTATGCCGTAAAAAAAGAACGGGCGTTTCGGCCTCGGGCGATGGCCGTCAATGACTAATTAAATGTCACGAAGAATAATCGATGATGGAGAGATGAATATTCCAGGCAGGCCTCCCGTCGACTTGTGTAGATTGAATTGCATAATGCATCGGGTGTTTTGGCGACCCCAACGAGTGAGAAACACAGGCTCAAAATAAACAGACATTCGGATCGAAAAGACGGTGACGCTGGTCGAGGCCAAGGTGAAGGCCAATCTGCGTTTCACAATGCGTCACTTTATTTCTTTATCACTCACTTTGGCGGACTCATGAATTTTCGATGAAGGGGCAAAGTGGGTGAGGCCCGTGGGGCCCCCACTGCAGCCCGGAGCTTCTATCTCTCTCCATAATAACCAATATTACGTTTTTTTCTTTGCCAACTTTTCACTTTATTTATCCATTCATTCTAATAATAAGCTTGATGCATTTATAATAATAATAATACCTTTTACATTTTTTAAAATCAAAATTCAAGAAATTAATCATCTGAATTTCAATCATTTTTAATAATTTTCATTGCCAGATGACATGAGCCTGAAAGATGCAATTGCATTGAGTACTCAAATGCAGATAAATTTTCCTTTTATTTGCTGCCATTAGTAATTTTTAATTTCTCCTTCTTGCACGGAAATAAATCATTGAATCAATCATATTTAAGGCTTCTTCATATATAACATCATTATATTCAATTTACAATTGTCGGTGGTGATTTTGATGATCCTTCGTCAGTTTTAACAACTTAATGGCTGATCAATTTGTGAAGCTTATCTCTTAATGGAATTTTTTACAAAATGCACTTATTCAGAAAAAAAAAGTAAGACAATGTGGTAGCGGGATGACACTGAGGAGTTGAATCTTTTTGGCCCTCAAAGTCCAAATTTTCAAATTTGAAGAGTTAGAATATTAATTATTAGAATTTGAAGAGTAGAATCATAAGACAATCAATTGTTTATCTGCTGAAAAAATACACTGGAAATTTCAAATAAAAAACGTGAAATTTTTATGAATCACGAAGTACCATAAAATTTCTATAAAATTCTTCATTGGTGAATCTTATAAGCGAAATTTCTGAATATTCTGATAGCTCTCAATTTTCAAGTCCATGCCTCACTGAAAAACCGCGAAAATGTTTAAAATTAAGGCAATAAATTCCCTGAATATTCCATCCATTGAAAGTTTTATCGTATTTGATATTGGATTTTCACAATGAGTATGAAAATAGAAGCTTTCAGTCAAAAATCAATCACCATTTAACATATCAAAAATCCAATTTTGCAGAATTTTCAATACACATGAAAAATTAGTGACTCTTTTTAATCGCAATTGAACGCAGACTCACAATTGAAAATTGATACGGCTTTGTGGTTGAAATTTCAAGGAATTTCTGACAGTGTACTCGATTCAAATATATATTTTTCATGGAGATTCAGTTGCTTCCAATTACTTTTACCAAAAATATTATGGTAAACTTAGCGCTTAGGTTTTTACATTTCCATTGAAAATGAATCAATATTGAAAAACTGTATGAATCTCTTCATTACTGGATTTAAATAGTAATTTCCTTGAAATAACGGGAAAATAATAATAAAAAATGTCGATGTATTTTGTGATTGCAGTCAAAGCTGCGGAGCGAATGGTATTTTTTCTCGTCGTCTGGATTTCAGTGCATTCAACAGCCTGCCCAAGACCAAACTCAACTCGTATCATATCAAGGTAAGAACTCCCGACAGTCTCTCTGAACATTTTCATTCACTCCCTGCATGAAAACGAAAATGGAAAAAAAAAATCTGCGCTCGAGGGAAAGGGTAAAAGGACCCATCGAAAGCATCTCCATGTATCCATCCAATTTCTGATACCGTGTGGGCACGGAGTGAAGCGTGAACGAGGGGTGGAAACCACCCCAGAACATCCATGCAAACTCAGCCATGCAGGAAAATCTTTTTTCCTCCTCATACCAGACTCACCCTTCCTCTCTTTACGAATAACTTCTCGTTTCTATTTTACATGCACGTACATCAACGGACAACGGTCCACCCCTATTTCTCCCCTACCCTCTGTTCTCAACTCACGTGATCTCATTTCTCGGGTAAAATTTCAAAATGCAAAGACTGCCTTTTTGCGTATGGAATACCGATGTCTGATTTATTTCACATGGGCGGGACATTTGAATTTGTCGATTTCGGGGCTTTCTGACATTTATTAACATCTTTTGATTAAAGTAGTTTTAATTAATTTTTTTTTCTCGATACTACGAGGAGATTATGCATTCTCTCATTTTATTTATTTCTCTGGATTCTAGCGTCACATTCAAATTTAATCAACCAAATCCATTGATTAATCCTCGAAAAATGATCGGTTATTTGATTAAATCGATTTATTCCTCATTTATTTTTATTCAATTTCCATTTGGTTATATTTTCATTCAAAGTTAAGGTCTGGATAAATCACGACTCGTCACAAAGCGAAAAAAATCCTGACAACTAGAGAAATTAAATTTTTTATTAAAATGTTGTAATTAATCTCCAAAGTTAGTAGTATTGACTTCACCAGGAAACATCAAGACTTCTTTCTTGGAAATTGAATCAGGTAAAGGAAGTCATATATTGTTACTATCTCAAATCGATAGTTTTCGAGATAAATCAAGAACTAAGAGAATTCAGAGAATTAAGATTTGAAAATGCAGGCGCGAGGGACTGTCCAGAGATTAGCGTGAGACGCAGTTGTTAAAATTTTTCCTGTAGTATCGTCTGGCCTGCGAACACCAGCCGCGAACGATTTACGAGTCTAGCCCATCCACCACCCTCAGAATTTCTTATTGACGCTCCAAACCCGGTAAAAAAATCCCCTATACACTTTTTCTTCTGAGTTGAACTACTTGCTCCGGGAGAAATAAGTCTGAAACAATTTTTTTTCCCTTACCGGAGCGAATTTTTTCACCGGATAAGACGCATAAAAGTCAGAGTCTCTCGAGATTCAAGGCGGTGTTAGATAGTGAGATAGAAGTGAGTGACGGTATCTAACCAAGTGAATCGAAATTGAATCGCACAGTCTCGATACAATAAATACAAACCCCCTCCTGAGTTTCGATGAAAATGGGAAGATAGCGTGACTCGTGATCGTAAGTCTGAGCTTTCGAGTCACGTCTGATTTTTAAAAGTACTGGGAGTGGCTTGTCGGTGCATCAGAGTGGACCCAGTTGAATCACTGCGTGGGTTTAATGTCTAATGTCCATGAGTAACTTCTTCCCCTCCAGAATTCCCATTACAACCACCGGAAGTCCGGCTTTACTCTCCAATTAATCAGAAATATTACACCCTGGGTAACTCAATACCTCGGAGGCATCTTCAGGGTTGCCTTCGCATTGATTAAATTCTGGCTTCAAGACTCCAACTGCAACCGGAAGTTTGCAGTTCTCAGGCTTGTGTTTACAATCGGTTTACAAAAGGGAAATATTTCACTCCGAGAGATATTTTCAATAATTTTTCCAAAATTTGCACTCCCTTTATGAGGGAAATTCCATGGAATTTCAAGAAGACGACTGAAAGTTTCACTTGCTGATTCTCTTGCTAAATTTCTGCATCATACTAATAATGTCTTGATATTTCAGTAAGTTTCATGATATTTCTTGATATTTCATATAAGTTTCAATTCAATTTCAATTAAAAACCGCTAAATTTTTCATTTATCTTGGCAATTCAAGAAAAGGGGGGTTTCCACGTTAAGTAATCATTAATTTTTCAATGAAAGCTCAAATTCTCATGTGCATCGTTGAAACTTCAACATTGAAAATATTCATCAATATATTGAAAATGCAGAGAAATTATCGCTTGATTTTTGATCATTTTTACGGTGTCTCAATACAATATAAATTTGAAAATAGAGACTTACTAAAATATTTAAGAAATTGAATGATTTGTTAATGAAGAATTGTTAAACATTCCAAGTATAATTTTCCATAAATGTAACTTTACAGAATAATGCGTCAAAGTAATGGGAACAAAGTGAGACATAATGCAAATATTTTGAAAAAACCAAAGAAATTTCCTCTAACAATCCAACTGGATTTTCAATTTCACGAATTGTCCGTAAAAATGGA